ACTAAATTCACAAATTTTGAAAATCAAATCACAGAATTAGACTGACAAATATATTAATGTTAAAGTGATGAAGATGCCTGCAAAAAGATGACTGCAACGCAGGTGTCATACCTGTTGAAAACTTCAAATTTCACATCGATAATTTTCTGAATTTGTAATGTAATATCTGCTTAATATTGATTCGTCTTTTCTGCTGCCACAGAAGAAAAAGTGTATTATACACAGGAAAAATATTAGATTTTAGCTCACAACCTGGAGCTAAAATCTACAACTGTTTTCCCTTGTATCATAAATAACTATTACTAAACGAGCACTTGAAAAAGCTACCTTCTGTTTTAGGGAAATAAAATGTCGTGTTGTTAAGAATTTTTTAGAAATAGTAAATTTACTGTGGATGTCCATCAAGTAACGGCCAAGTCAATTTAAAAAACTCGTCATCAGTATTATAAAATGAATAACTAATTTCCACTATTCAATAAATTGAACTAACGAAAACCTTCACATCCCTCGTCATTCGTCAGCCATCATGTTCAGAAAATCATTTTCCTACTTAGCTGTATTTTCTCACAACCCGATTATTAAAGATCTCATGCAATACTCGAAATCCACATTCAAAAAGAAACTAAAGGCAATATTCAATATGTGATAAGAAGAATTACATTTTTATTTCAAACTATGTATACTACTAGTAATTTGTCCCATCACACAATCTTTATTTTTTGTCCAGTTACTCTAATTCCCATAATACATATTAGGTTAAGTGTAACTATAGCTAAACTTCGCCTATACTATGTAATATTGAAATACTAAATAAAGTCGATTATTATTATTATTATTATTATTATTATTATTATTATTATTTAGTTCATATAATTCCAGTCACGACCCTGCGGCCTCCGACGTCACGCAGAGTCGTGCTGGATAAAATCCAGTGACTACTCCTCACAGCCTGTGAGGTGAGTAATCACTGGGACCAAGTACCGTGTGCCCTGAGTAGACGCAATGATCCCAGTATGACGGCCTTCTGCATTCCACCAGCCAGGATGTGTGCCTTATCACGGCACGCTGGGATTTTCTGGATCTCCGAGAGCAGCGTGTGTCGTGTGCCTCCTAGGAAGCCGATTATCAGGATGACCAATTCCACAGAATGGTCTGGATAGAGTCGGCGGAGTTCGAAGAGAAGATCTCGATATTTAGTCCGTTTTTCCTCCTCCTTCAAAACGATGTTCGGTTCGGCTGGCGCCGAAAACTCGATCACGAACATCGCTTTGGTTTGATGGTCGAGGAGGACTACATCAGGCTTATTAGCCTGTATCTGCCTGAGGGTGGGGAATGAAAAGTTCCAATAAATTCGGCACCTCTCATTCTCCACAACGGACTCAATATCCCCCGGAGCATAGGGCAGCACTGGGGTCTCGTCTATTCCGTACGAGTGCCTCAAGTGATAATAGAGCACTCGCAATGCCGCATTGTGTCTATGGATATAGGCCGAGACTGCATACACCGTGCAAGAAGACAGCAGGTGCATAAGTGTCTCGGGCGCCCTGCGGCAGGCCCTGCAATTTGTGTCAGGGACCTCCATACCCAAGACACGGCTACGGTAGACGAGAGTGTTGAAAACCCCATCCTGGCATGCCATGATGAACCCCTCTGTTTCCGATTTAAGCCCGCCTGACTTAAGAAAAGCGAAAATCAGTTCTTTGGATAAGCCCCGGTCTTCAATGGTCTTGAAGTAGACCGAATGCATGGGCTTATCCATGTGAAGCTGCAGAAGCTTTTTCACTTCTGCAGCTTTGATGCGGGCTTTTCTCCGAGCGGGTTCTAGCTCAGTAATTGAGTCCTGAGCCAATCCTCCCATGCATAAGTTTCGTTCGTGTGGAGACTTTAACTGGAATAAATTCCCTAGCGGTGAGGTGGTTCATTTTTCTGAAAATTTACGAGAAACGTCAACGTTTTAATGTGTTTATCAACATTTTGTGAGCAATATAAAGAATATAACCCTTTAGGGGTAGCTGGAATCAGCCCCAATATATTTTTTCAAAGGCAACCCTATGGCTAGTGATCGCTTATTGGAAAGCTGGTTGAAACAGGAATCCAGCGTACTGATACAATCCGTTTGCAGTACGTTTGAGGGCGGCATAAAATCATAAGATAATTTTGAAATTCAATATATTTTCAACGTATTTCCATCTAATTTTCGATTTTAAGTGTGAGTGACATAAGACATTTTCACCAGTTTGCAATAACACTTTGTTTCGAACTGTGAATACGGCATAAGAAGCTAACTACTGTGTTAGCGACGAGAACCCCATGCTACGCTGAGCAACCTTATCTTGGTCATTCTTGGTCACACTGTATAGAAACGAACACATATACAGTCTGTCCAAGATAAGGTTGAACAGCATGGGGATCTCGAAAACGGTAGGAGATACGAAGTCGGTTAAATGTGCCTTCGAAAATTTTCAAAATTATTTTTAGTTTTTCAGTTATATCGAAAAAAGTGAATTTTTGGAATATCTATTTTTTTTTTCTCCGTTATTATTAGAGATCCAGAAAAACTGAAAATACTTTTTCATAGCAACTTTTGATGACGTTTAACTTGGTTATACCGATTTTTGTATGCGACGTTTCGTATCAGTAGAACCAACATCAACTTTTGTGTTTTAATTACGGTCCTGATAATTTTTTCACAGATTCTGAGAGGTTTTTTTATTTTGAATTCAACCATGTATTATACAAGGTGATTCGAATGTGTTTCGACCTATTTCTATCCATCATCAATGTTTTTTCGAACTTCCAATGGAAAAGTGCCATCAGTTCCATTTATTTCTGATCATTTAGTGTCAAACATTGATGGATCAGTTATTCAATACTGAAAAGTGGATAAAAAATATTTCACTACATCATTCAATGAAGCGCTTAAAATTTTTGATGAATCCTTACACGAATGACTTTAACAACTTAACTTTGACAATAATACCTTCAGAAACATTTCTTGGGTTATTCTATTGAATGCTTCGATGACACTGTCCCTTAGTTCTTCTTCATCATCAAAGCTATTTGCGTGTACGAAGTTTTTGATATATCCCCTAAAAAAAATCCAGCTGTGTCAAATCGGGTGACCGCGCTGGCCAAGGGACTGCAGAATGAGTACCAATGCATTTTTCTGGATGAAAACGCACGAACTTCTCTGGAATTCTGTACCGGAGCGCCATCTTGTTGAAACCAACAGTTCTGAACTTATTCCGCAATCGGTAAATCATCCAGAGCTTCCTCAAGATGATTCTCATGCAAATTTCTTCAACAATCGGAAGTCTGTGTTTCATGGTAGATAAATGGACCAATAATTCGTGTACCAAATATTGCAACCCACATATTAAAGCCGAAACGGTGTTGGTGTCTCGCTGTAATGTATTAATGTTCATTTTCTCGTGAGCCATAATGTGTATTTTTTTCTTCCGAAGATACCATGATTAGTGACCATGCTTTCATCAGTCTAGATGATTGTTCGCGGGAAATCTGCAAAATTTTGACATTTCCTGGTATACCACTCACAGGATGTCCTGCGCCTTTCGTCATTGCCTGGTTTTAGCGCTTGACATATTTTGAATTTGTATGGATGGAATTTTTGTTTCCGCAAAATGAAATGGGTTGTTGATTGAAACCAGTTTATGAGGTATTAGTGTGTTGACTAATTTTACTTCAAAATAAGTGGAACTGATGGCATTTTTCCTTAGGAATTTCGAAAAAACATTGATGATTGTTAAAAATAGGTCGAAACACACATAAACCACCTTGTATAATACATGGTTGAATTCAGAATTGAAAAACCTTTCAGAATAGGTGAAAAAATTATCAGGACCGTATTCAAAAAAAAAAGTTGATGATGGTTCTACGAATACGAAACGTTGCATAGAGAAATTGGTATCACCACGTTAAACGTCATCAACAGTTGCTATGAAGAAGTATTTTCAGTTTTTCTGTATCTCTAATAATAACAGAGAAAAAAAAAATAAAATAGATATTCCGAAAATTACCTTTTTTCGATATAACTAAAAAACTAAAGATAATTTAGAAATTTTTCGAAGGCTCTTGATATGAGCCTCCGAATGCGCAACTTTTTCCCCATTCAACCGATACTTCGTATCTCCTACGGTTTTCGAGATTCCCATGCTGTTCAACCTTATCTTGGACAGACTCACAGACTGTATATTTGTATATACCTCATTTTTTCATATTGCCATCACTTACGAAACCCTGGTTCAATAAAAAAACACATACAATACGAGAATGAGATGAAAACTCATAGATTGTTCCAATGTCTCCCGTTCGTTTTGATCTCTGGCTGAAGCAGTTGGATAAGATTTCACTAATGTCCACCAATCTTCAAAGACGACGGACATTAGTCATAGCATCGCATGGAGATTGGGGAAGCAAATATTTTTGTATAAATGTTTGCAGCTAACTCCACCTAACACTCCCACATATTCCTGATGTGAAATATTTCACAGTAAACTGTCGTGGAGATGATTTTGTGTGATATTCAGTATTTATAATTCTTCTGTCAAAATTCATAGATATTGTCTTCGATTATGTTTCAATTGATAATATTCATCGAAAATTAATTTCATCAATATTAAAACACCTCGGAAAACTCTAATCAGAATCTACTGAAAACTCAAGGAATTTTCCATCAGATTCGATTGAACAAAATCGAAATCGAATTAGGTATTCATGAAGACATGTTATAAGATCTATTTTTATGAACACACTTTTTAGGTATAGGTACACATGCAAATTTCCACTAGCCTAATCTCTCTTTGATAAATAATGCAAATAGTATAATCAATGCAAACATAACATCGGGTTGAGGTTGATTGTATTTCAATGGAAATAATGAGGACAAGAGACAAAGGAAGGTTAGCATAGAGCATTATTATTTCATCAACCGTTCCTCTCAACGTAGCAGATATAGCATTCGTTTTAAGCCTCAATCTCACCTCCTACATTACTCCTGTCATCGTCCACAAACGAATCAACTATCAAGAAGCTGGGAGCATTCACCGTCAGTTCATTTGGAGATGATGTAGGTGAAGTTACTCCTCTAGAGCACATTTTCAATTATTGTTGCATGCACTAAGACCAAACGACATTGATGATGTAGATACTTTATTCCCGTTATTTACACAATGAACCACCTTTATCACTAACCAGCTAACCACTGTTGAATCTAACCGTAACACTAATGAACACTGCCAGGATTTTCAACAAGTTTGAAATACCATCCCACCAAGATAAAAATAAAACAATAAATAGCAACTCAATTTGAATGTGAGAATTGGACAAACAGCTTGTCGTTGTTGGAACACTTTTGCTATTACTGATATTAGCTTGTTTCATTATCATCATTATCGCAGTTCATGACAAGGTAGGATGTGTTCCAAGTTCCATATAACAATAAATAATATTAATGTCAACTCAATGCTCAATGGTATATTATGCTGATATTAGTAAATATTGAATTGATGATCATGCAATTTGGATAGAGGTTGTACACTAAAATACAGAATATATTTTCCTCGACATTTTTCCGGTGCAAAGATTTTCCAAAATTTGTCTTTATATACTTCTCTCCCATCCTTTCATTGTTTGAACGGGTCAACTGAAAAAATTGGAACTTGCGCCATCTGGGACAGAAAATTTAAATGGAAAGGGGGTCTTGTCCTTTTGAAGCTCCTGGCGAATATTTCACAACCCTATAATATGAAGTCAATATCTTCTCCTATATTAAAAAATGGTGGAACATTTAATAGTTTCCTGAATACTAACACATCAATTTGGGTATTGTACTCCACCACATTACTCCAGACAAGTTAGAAACATTTGGATAATACTTTCCCCGGTCGTTGAATTGGCCGTCGAGGTCCTACGGAATGGCCAGCTCGATCGCCAGATTTGACACCTTCAGACTTTTTTATGGGGCTATTTGAAATAAAAAGTGTACGAAACTGCACCTGGTCCTATATTGGATATACGACAGAGAATGATAAATATTTGTAGAAATATTGACGTGACTGTGTTCGAAAGTGTTCGGCGTGAAATATCGGATAGGCTGTTTTTATGCCAAGGAGTTCGAGGCAATCATTCCGAGCATCTTCAAGACTGAACTGAGCTTATTTCCTCAAATTATGATGTTAATGTCGATGTGTTCAGGCAATTATGAAACGTTCCGCCATTTTGTAGTATAGGTGAAGATATTGACTTCATATTCCAGGGATGTGAAGTATTCCTCAGGAGCTTCAAAAGGATGTATCACAAGACCCCTTTTCCATTAAATTTTTGCACTACACTGTTTTACCACTAACCAAACCGATTTTTTAACGCCTCGACACGTGTTTCGCTAACCAGTTTTAATCTTCTCCTGAAGATGCTAACATAGTTAGCGAAACACGTGTCGAGGCGTTAAAAAATCGGTTTGGTTAGTGGTTAAACAGTGTAGTGTATTATCGTGCCAAAGGTTCCAGTCTTCGATATATTAAATTTTTTGTCCCAGATGGCGCCCTGTCGCCATCTTGAAATTGCCATCTGTCAATTTTACTTCAAAATATTGTATTCATGCATCAATTTCACTCAATTTATCCTAAATTTCGATTTTTTCAGTTGACCCGTTCAACAAATATAAGGAGGGGGGGTCATTAAAGAAAAGCACACAATATTGAAGATCGAGAAAATATAAGGTTCTAATTTCCGGAAATGTTCACCAGATCGCTCACTCTTTCAAATAATTCAATATCAACATACGAAACGATTACACCAAAAAGTTATACAAGGCATGAACAAATTATAATATGTAACTCCAAAAGACAAAATTTTTTATGTTTTCATGTCACAAAAAATATTATTTTAATTAAAATGGGCAGCTCTAGCAAAGCTCTGCTATCATTCCATCACTATATCATTATCAAAATGAAGAAAACACCTTGGTAGTAAAAACACATTTTACGCCTCGGAAAGGAGTAAATAATGCTAGTAGTGAAAAAATATATTTATATATAGTAAGGTATAGCACGTCGAGAGTCAGCTGTTGTAAATTAGTGAGAAAAAACTCGAAAAAAAACTATTGACTGTCATTCATCAGTAACTTCCAAGAACTTCCAAATACTAGCAAACATTTCCATCATCAGAGACTGCCAAAGACTTCCAGAGACAACTAATGAATACCAATGATTACCAAAGAGTTTCAATCAATGCATTCAGTGACCACCAGTGGAATGTCCAATAGACATCCAATGAGATTCACCCTTCGCTCCAGTGTAATCTTCAACAGATATCCAAGGAGAATTATTACCCCTCGATACAATTCAATAACTATTATACCTAGTGATATCACGAAAAGAGGTTTGTTTTTTGATAAATCGATCTTCTGTAGCTTCTATAATAAAGATCGCTCACCGAGTCGCCCACGAACAAAAACAGAATATCAAGTAGTTATTTTATACACGACTCCTGTATTTCCGAAGGATAAAAGGACATTGAAATATTCAATAGTAAAATCATTAATTCTCAACTGTACATAGAAAGTTATTCAGAACATTTTTAAAATAGAACAAGAGCCAACCAATTAAAACTTGAGTGTTTACCGTAATCATCGAGACCGTAATATCACCGAACATAAACAGATCGGTGGTAATATTATCATTTTGTCAGTTAGGTATAAGTAATAATTCATCCTGATAGAATGACTTATCATTCACCTCGAGCCTCTAGTGATGTGTCCTGATGTCACTATATATGATTTATTATTAAATGTTCAGTTTGTGTTTGGTTTTGAATTGATTATCAACTTGAATCACATATTTTAATTCTGAATCCTCTGTTATTCGGTTGTGAACTGGATATCATCGATCTCGTCATCGATTATTATTGTTATTCGCATCACTCACATGGAACCGAAACCTATAAGTACCCTTCGATATATTTTAATTGTGGTCCTAAGTAAGATACCAAGATACGCCACTGAATCTCCTATATATCCGCTTTTATTGCAACAGTGATCTATCAAGAGTGCCACGAAACAAAAATAAATGTATGTATACACAGAGAGATAGCATTGACCTTATATTTCGATCAGTATCAAAGTATATATAATCTCTGATATCAACTAAACTAGCTATACCTGAATGCTTATATAACAAGTAAAGATTAGGTAGTTGTTATGCATTTAGGTATATTTTCATATACAGGGTGTTTCTTTGTAATTGCGAAAAATTCTCGGAAAAATTCAAGGGGACATTTCTTGCTAGGGTCAAAATTGAACGTGTATGTCCGTATAATGGCCTCGTTCCTATTATAAGGTAAACATTATTAAGGTTAGATGCAACAAGAATATGTTTTTCAATGTTGCCATTCAGAATCAAAGACATGCATTATTTCAAATCCAAATACATCTCGAGAACGGTTGCTCCGTTGATCGTATTAATTTCTACCGCAAACAGCAATAAGTATGCCATCATCTAGCAAAAAGATGTTCTTGCGATGTCTCATCTAGGCCTCTGATGTCGCTGTAAGTCGCGAGGATATAGAAGTTACATGTTTCCTGCTGGCGACGTCTATGCGATGCAGTTCTGAGATGTCTCTTTAATAACGCATCAGTAACACAGCGACGTTGCAGCGAACATTTAATATATGTACAAAATATATATAGATCGAAAAATTCTTAAAAAAATAAGAAACAAGAGGAAAAAAAGAAAAAAGAAGCGACCCCCATTAACGGCGCTCGTTGTAGCTTGGCTTCTGTGATCGGACCATATCCGTTTCCTCTGTTACTCTGTTCGATCCATTTATTACATGTTATATTACAAGCTTTTATTCAGTTTCACATGTCATGGTGTCTGTTTGTGATAAAATTTGACCCACTTTCAATCGTCCGCTTGATTCGAAATTTGGCAAGTGTATATAATATATTCCCCGAGGAAATTCATTGTGACATTATTATTGAATGGAAAAAACGAAATGCATAACTATAACCTGATCTGGGGAAATTGTTTCCATACGAAGACTGAATTCCAATAAACCAAAGAAAAGAGAACACAGATTGAATAGATATACCCTCGGGTATACCTATATCGTAAGATGCATAATAATAATACGAATGATCCAAAAGATGCATCACCATGAAAGCATTTTCGTCAAACATGCATGAGAGAAAAATCATTCTCGCGGACAATACACAATGACATGACCACATGCTCTTCCCTAGTTTGAGGCCTAAATGAATGCATTGAAAAAATAAAAATAGCTTGCACCTTGCCGGGATTCCATGAAGTTGTGAAATTCTGCGAGAAAACCTTTACTACGTCAGTTGCACCATAATCTCGAATTACTCACCATACATATGATTCTATAATATTATGAACTCGAAAGAATATTTTACAATAAAATGTGACATCGCAGAGACATCTATAAATTCGATATCTAGAGAAAATATCGCAGTAGCTATCTATGGCATGTAACAATTTTACATCGTAGTTATATCTAAAACCAGCCGTTACCATATCGAGATTAGAACCAGCCCAGCTATTACTGATTTAGATATTATATGGCTGCCGCAGTATCGCAGTAATATCAACAATATAACATCGCAGAGATATCTAAATATAGATCTTGATGCCTATGTCTATGGCAATATAAATCCAGCTATCACTAATTCAGACATCAAATCAGGGATGTCGCAGCGTGATATCGCAGTAAAGACAACAATATGACATCGCAAGAACATCTATATCTGGCCATTATTGATTTTGATATCTAAGGGGTGTTGCGGTGTGATATCGCAGTAATGTCAACGAGTTTATATCGCAAGGACATCTAATTTTTATCGATATTGACATCCCTGAGATCTGGATGTTTGCCTATAGTGTTGACTAGGGCATAAAATGGAATAATTTACAGACTAATCTTGCAAATAATTATTGCAAGAAAAATCATGCAATCAGCTTAATATAAAAGATAATCTTACAACTATAACTTTCATCCCAATAAATAGTTTGAAATTGACAGATTATAATCTTATTGCAATTACTCTCATTGCAACATTTACTTTGTGATTGGGGATTAATTTGCAGATTAATCATTTATTAATCTTGCAATATATAAAACATATTCAGTCAAAAGACATTTTATCGCAACGACCTAGATCAAATGGCGATATGATTTGCCAACGGGAAAATCAAATACTGTCTGTAGGAAAATCAATATCTATATGTATATGTCGTTACAGATCATGTCGCACATGGACGGTGTCAGCTCCCTTGATCACAACTGCAATATGAGCGTTCATACCGTCCAACCGCGACATGTTCGTTGAAGTCGAGTGTATATATATACAGTATGATGCAAATGTATGGAATAAATTCATTATTTCAGAAATGGACGACATTCGAGAAAATT